CATTGTGAATCCCGATACGAGCGCGCTCTCCGATTGTCACGAGTTGGTACGGCGCCTAGCCGTTTTTTAATTTTTTCCTTTTCGCGGGCTCGAACCCGCAACCTCTGTACTACTTGCCCGATACGGACACATCATTATCTACTGTACGATCAGATTAGATAGGACGGCAGTGCACGGCACAGCTCGGGCCCCGCTGACGCAGCCGCTCTGACTCACCGGCCCCCGGGGCCGCGTCGGCATGCTGCGCACAGACCAGCTGCGCACGGACCAACGCGCACAGCCTGCCCTAAATCTTCCCATGTATATAAACCAGCCTCTGCTGCCCTAGGGACCTCAGTTTCGACCTCTTGTCCCTAGGTCAGTAAGCCCTCCTGTACTTACTTCTTTTACTTACTAACTAATACATTCTTGTCCCTAGCCTTAGGTTTGAGCATAGCTCACCATCGCTTCGGTGAGACTTAGTCGGACGCCCCCAGCATTCAAGTTTTCCTCAGTCGCTTGACCTCAAGTCGCGACATTAGGTCGAAACTCCCCAAGCTGCCGGCGTCCCCTCGGGACACCCTATATTCACTTTCCTTTCCCACAGGTCGGGTGGTGCGCACCCCTACGATACCCTACGATACATACGATACGTAGATAGCGTACATACATCGCCACCACTTAGGGAACGAACTCTTCAGTACCTGCACTTCAGTGGGCGGTACTTGTCCTCACGGACGCGTGGACTAGGTTCCTGCTGCATAATAGTCAAAAGCAGTACTGGGCCCCACGTGAACTGCGAACCCTAGTGTCTTCTTGGGCGCCGTAGCGTAAGCTAGCATAGCACGGCCATTGTAGTACGCGCACCTCCCCGTCCTTCCCCCTTCCATCGTGGCTGCCTGCCAAGGCCAGATCCACGCATTCGACTCTCAGGACCTCATCGACGTCTACATCCCAGACGGTCCTGAAACTGTCCTCTATCGTTGCGAGCAGCAGCCGTGCCCGAATCGGACACCCCGATCGATCGAGGAAGACTACCCTCGCTACAAGGCCATCAGATGGGCTCAACACCCGCTCGGACCCCGAAGCACCCTCGCATCTCGATCCGCCTCACGGCACTCTCGCCCTGTCTCCCCTACCTCCCGCCTTCCCCAAACTGTCGCCGAATCCAGTCAAGCTCGAGGAGATCTCCCTCCAGACCCTGCGCCAGAGCCAGAGCCTGAGGAGGGTGCAGGTGAAGAAGGAGTCTCGGAGTCCGAGTCCGAGGATTCTGCTGGGTCCACCTCGCCGACAGCGCTCGCCCCCGCGTCAGCAGTCCCTAACGTACGTGACCCCCCCACCGAACTTCCTTCGGCGCCTTCACCGCCGACTCCGCCGAGAGGCCGCTCGAGCACTCGCTCCTCTCGAAGTTCGACCAGCGGAGGGCCACCACAGCCGCCTCCGCCCCCGCAGCGTCCTCCGTCCCCCCCGACGCCGATAATGTCCTCTCCTGCAGCCGCCCCCGACAAGGAGACCTTAAAACTCCTCCTCCCGCTCCGCTACGATGGCAAGACCGTCATCGAATGCAACCGGTTCCTGTCCCAGTTGCGCATCTACTGGCTGGTCAACACGTCGTTGACCACCATCGAGCTTAAGGTGCAGGTCGCACTCAGCCTACTCGATGGAGATGCCCGCGCCTGGGCCACTCCCTACTTTGCCCAGCTCGCATCGGTGCAGGTGGGTGTGCAAGGGGCCACGACCCCGTTCGCAAACGAAGCAGCCTTTGCCGCCGCCTTCAGGGCCCGCTTCGGAAATCTCGACGACGAAGCGGCAGCACAGGTAGAGCTGGCGAAGCTCTGCGCGGACAAGACGGTCCGCGAAAAACGCACCGCTGCGGAGTTCTCCGCGCTATTCAAGGGTCCGGCGGATCGCTCTGGGTATGGGGACCTGGAGCTACGCGACAAGTACCTGAGCGGCATCCCCTCCCGCGTGTACCGCAAGATCGAGCTCGAGACCTTCACCACGTGGCAAGCAGCTGAGAAGCGCGCCACTGAGGTCGAGCAGATCCTCGACATCAGCCGGGCCCGTCGGCCCGAGCTGAACAACTTCTTCTCGGCACGAGGTCGAGGACGCGGCGGGGCACGTGGTGGTGCACCCTCGACACACGCAGCTTCGGCCAGCATCAATGCGGCCGTCGGAAAAGGCAACTTCCCTGGCACATGCTTCGGCTGTGGGAAGCAAGGGTACCGACGCTTCGAGTGCCCCAATTGTAAGGACAAGCCTTACACAAAACGCGCCGACGCGCGGGCTACGGTTGCCTCGGGCTCCACCCAGGCTGCGACAAGCGCCCCCGTCACGACAACACCCTCGGCAAGTATAAGTGCCGCTTCAGCGAAATCCGAGCAATCGGAGCTGGCGGACTTAATGGCACAGGTGAAGTCGATGCGCGAA